GTTTGATTATTATGTTGAATCACCTTTGTTCCATGTGCTAAGTTCACTGATTAATCGCTGTTCTCATCGATGTAAATTGTACTGTCATATGTTAATATTATTCTATTCTATTATTCTATTCAATGAACTGTTTTTTCATCACAAGTATGGACTTCGGTTGGTTAACTTTGATCGGATTTTTATACTGTTTTTTTCCTAGTGGGCTGATGTTTGTGCAGTCTTCAATGCTCATTTTAGCCTAACCTTGAATTTCTTTTGCAGACAGTGAATATTCGTTAGAATGAAATGACGTCAATTTGTTCTGCTAATCTTTTAGCTCTTGCTTTCTTCAAGGGAATGAAATTTGTAAGATTGCTTAGTAGAATCCTTGAGTTAGCTTAATTTGTTTCCAGAGTGATCTGACACATTAAAGTTATTATGAAAACCTGCGCTTTTAAAATTTCTCATTGCTTCTGACGTATCTTTCTTGTACGAATGCAGTACACTCCTACTAGCATTCTCTTCTTCAGCTAATAATTTCTGCTATCTGGTTGTAAATATTATCTTTCTATGAATTTTATTAGTGGTTGCCCCATAACATTTTAAACAGATTTCTTCTCGGACTCTAGTCTTCTGAGTGTTATTAGGTTACATATTCCGTCTCCAAAGCTTTGTATTAACCTTCATTTGGCTGGAATTGAATGCACTTCAATAGTGGTTTGTAAACTGCCATCAAACATTCTTTTGATAAACTTCTTCCCCTTCACGAATTTGAATAATCCAAGAAGAATTGCAGTAGATTCTCCTCAGCTGCCTCACAACTTTGGGAATATAATTTTTACGATTGCAAACAAGGTCTGCAATGAAGTTTCGTAAATCTACAAGAATGTTTTAGATGTAGGATAACAAAGATGTAGGACGACCAAAGTCAGTGAAGTGGTTAAGACTACTCAGTGGTTTGTCATTTATATAGTGATAGAAGAATGAACATTGAGGAGTTGTCAGGAATGGGAAGAGGTTACAGGATTGGTGAGTTAAATTACGTCACGACTAAGCATAATAAATACAGTGATCAATTTTCAGTCTTTTGATGGCTACTACTTTGCCAAAGAGCAAAAGGTTGGGTTTCACTCTGAGGTATCTTGATGCGTCAACATTATGCGCAGTATCAAGCGAAAACCCAGAGACTGAGGTAATTAAACCATGTGAAGATTTAAGACATAAATCCTCTGACATGTAATCAGAAATGCGAACAAGAACCCTCTTATCTCTACGTCCAATATATATGCCTTCGCAGGTACATCTGAATTGGTTTATGCAGTGTGGAATGGGGAACTTATCCATAATTAGGTGTCACAATGAACAGTTAGGTGGAAAGGAGCTCCTCTACACGTTGAACATTTCCATTTTTCGTGATAAAAATCATATGATAATGTTTGCCATTTCCTATTCTTACTTTACCTCGGTTCAAAAGTCACTGCATACTTTTATTATCCTCCATATTTATTAACAGTTGAATACTACACTCCTAATTTAATACCTTTTATGATAAGAAAAGTGTAAGTTTCAGTGGCAAAACTTATTTCAATGACTGGATATTTCCTCTGTTTCACAACCATCTCTTCCATATTTCACTACGGCTACAAAAGCTATGTGACGTATTTCATCGAAATAAGGGAATTCACGTAAAATTGCAAGCAGAGAAACTCTAAAACAGCTATTTGTTAAGTGAGATAACAAAAAATATCTGTTGAATCACCTCTTTATTGTACAAAAAGCTGTGAAATCTTTTTATCTTGCTTCATATGAAATATGACAAATTTCAAATAAATCAACAAAACACCAATGTCTTCATCAAAAGTAGCGTGAGGGAAATGTCCTTCATTCAATATTTGCGCTATATCATATCATATGCAAACTTTGAGTGAGAAAAATTCACAGCATTTCAATTCAACCCAATTATACTTATTAAATGATGATCTTAAATTACTGATTCAAATCCAGTTACACTTTATTCAGTCTGACATTCACTCAATAGGTGTATCTCACTACTTTGAACAAGAGTATAAACTTACAATTACTCACTTTAAAGTTGAAAGTCAGACTACTTTTACGCCAACAAAACTTCTCTAGATACTGAGTCAAACCGCCTTAGTTATTACATTCACTACACACTCAATAGATCTGGAAAGGAATTCTGATCTGACATACCTCTGATCTAGAATAGCTATGGTGCCGACTGGTTTTATAAAATATCCCATACCTCACGTGCATGAAACGATCTCCATTAAATATTTACCGTCTATTGCGAGGTGTAAATCACCTTAATTCATAGTCATCTCTTTTGATACGGGTTGTCGATCACTTACTTTCTATTGATCTCACCATTGTGAAGCAGGAAGGTATCGAACTACCACTTCTCAATGTGTCCAAGATAAAAGTGAAACCACTGTTGCCACTCTTATCTTAATTATCTGTGCACAAGATAATGATAGATAGACAGCGATATTGACATGGAGCCCGACACACACAGAAGTCATTGGTCCAAGTTGCTATACCTTACAGCGGCATGCGAAGAAGAGGTGGATAGGAAACGCATGACACAAAAGTGTGGGCTACAGTATATGAAGGGAAAGAGAAGAAATGTATAAAGGTTAATCGAAGTACACCAGAGTTCAAAGATGATGAGAAGTGTGTAAATCTATAAATATGTGAACGATTTCCAACCACAATACTGTTAGTTTGCAACCATTAGTTTGTAGGGTGATGAAGACTAACCGGCTGGGGTCCATGAGACAAGAGAAACCAGTGGCTGGAGATTCAAGACGATATGGCTCAGAATCGATCTCATTAGTCCAACATCCCAAAATTATCATCTTAATCATCATGCTGTTGGTCATCATTTTCCCATTTCATTCTCGTTCTCTTTCCATGAATTTCTACTGCTTATAATTACTTCATTTCTTATTTCTCAATCTCTCACCCTTTGTAGCTTCTTACTTCACGTGGTATGGGAACATGGAGCAACACATAGTTAGTTATGTCAAGTCCCATTTTAGTGCCAACTTCTTGAATACTGATTGAGAGGCGAGCAACTTGAGCTTCAGATGTTTGCATATCAACCTGAACTTCTGGTCGGTGTGTCGCTCGGGGATTGACAAATAAGTTAAGTCACACCTAACGAAACCCATTACCTCCAGATTTTCGTCTTCATCCATTCAATTTGCAGCCTACAAAGACTCCATTTCATTTCTAGCGCATACTGTAATGAAATTCTTGAACCCGTCAAACATTTTTACTGCTTTATGCTGAATTATGTGTGATGTATGATGTAGTGTGTGGTTGGTGCATACCGAACTACAGCCACACACTGTCTAATATGTTGGCTGAGTAGGAGAAGATACAGTGACCAAATCAATCTATGGCATATCCATTTGATTGCTTCGATTGTGTGGATAACTGTCAACTTGCTAGTTGATTACCAGTGAACAGCAGGAATCAGTGGTTAAAAATACGTTGGTGGAAGTCGAAGGGAGTAGTGGAGATGTCCACTAATTCTTCACTGTTGTACACTTCTTCAACAATCTAACAATCATTTGCATCTTTTCGTTCACACACGCCTCTCTCCTGATATATTTTCACTGATCTTGTTTCTTAGCTATTTCAACTGATGATAGTGTGAATTGATCTACTCTTGTCACATGCATCACTTTATTCAATCCTTGTGGATACCACTCTGTCTTTCCGTCTACCACCGTGATACACAATCCGATATCTCGAACTCCATTCACTTCATCAGGTGTGTGCACTTCACTGATGTGCATTACAGATGAAAGTTTGCAATTTCCACATGTTTAACATTGACACTAGTCATTAAATCGCAGTACCGTTTCTGCTTGTTGTTTGTGGGTATTGATTGATTGATTGATTTCAAGTTAGTATTCAATATGCAAGCGAGCACTTGACAGGTGCTTCATACCAGAATAGGACTTCTTAGTACAGTTCTGATTAGCATATTGAGTATATGGATACTTCAATCAAAGGAGATTTTGCTAAAATCACATCACCTACTCATTAAAATACATCACATACTTGTCGCCTTTTGTTTTCATGTATGTAAACATCATGCTATGCCATGTTTGGTTTGCTTTACGTGAGTAGAATCAAAAAATGCGAGTTAGTGCCATAGCTGTTCACTTGATTGACTTGTGGTCGAACGCTTTCGATTATCTGATACATGAGAAGTTGTATGTATCACTATGGAATGTAGAAAAAACCACTGACACACAGGATTGCCTTTTGTTTTAAACGTGGCACTTCACATGATTCACGGACTATCTCAGGATTATTCTGTCAAACGAGATTATGAGACCGAATGAAGCGGAACATCATGAGATGAGTTAGAAAGTGAATAAGAATTGAAGTGATCAGATTTGTTTTTTCCGTGATGTAAGGTGTAAGACTGCAAATTTGAATACCTCGTTCCAATGTTAAGTCAATTTCTCCATTTCATAGTACTTTATTTTAGTCTGACCATAGATTCCTCTATCCTATTCTTAAACCATTCATTGTCATGCTGCTGTTTCACGTAGAATTTTTTGCAGTATGTTTGTTAACAACTAGGTCACTTACTTTTGATTTATCAAAATACGATACAAACATTGCCAAGTAGTCGCTGGTTCGATTCCGGCCGCTGTCCAAATTTTCATTTCACCAGCAGTCATTACCCATTACCATTATATATATACTTAAATTTCAAAAAGGGTATGTATGAATCATAAAGGGAACTTGTATATCTCAAATCAGGATTCAGTACTATTCTGGCTTAGTTTTATCTCTTGGTTCGATCATTTTCAATTTATTTCTGACTAAATCGCATTATGTGCATCATTATAATTACGCACGTATTTCACTTCAATGGTAGTTTTTTGTACCACTTAATTAGTAGGTCATTGATTTATTTCTGCTTCTATGTACTCTGGTCAACTTTCCTTCTTATACGTATTTCTCTTTCATTTAAGCTGTTCTACCTGCCGTACTGTGGAGATACTGCAAGTTCTTTGCCTACTTTCCGAGAAACTGGAACCACGTAAGTTTTTAGATCACTGCTTAATTAGAAAGTTCGTATAGAAACTATGTATGGTGACTTGTCTGATTCTTTTAAAACATGTTTAAACATTTCATTTGATCTGTGCAGTATGCTATTCATTTCATTGTGCGTATTTTATTGTTTTGTGAAGTGTTCTAGTTTGCAGCCTTACATATATCCTGAATTAGTTTTTATTTCGACTGACGTTTCATCTATATTAATGTGGCATTCGAGTTTGCTCATTTTTGTTTAGTAAATCTTAATAAGCTGAAAAATTCGCCGTTTAGCGTACTATTGTTTTACTAATAATATATTAAGATAAGCCATAGATAAAGCAGATAAACAGGAGGTGGTTGTTATTTTTCAGAGTTATTGTTCAAGCTGTACTATACATTTTTTTAGAGTACTCATTTTTTACACATATTAGTTTCACTTGATGCACAATTAATGAAACTAACAAACAAATTCTCTGTAACCAAGAGTACAACTCTTTGCTGACTGCTGTAAAGTTTTCCGGATGTAATTTACACTTATAAGTGAAAACGCTTCATTCGAGTTTTTCTAGTAACAACTATATCTTACTCATGTGATTCGGTTAAAATACAAATTTCAGACCCTTATATTTCTTGAATGTATGTACAGTAGTTTGGTCGATCTTTAAGTTCATGTAGATATTTTCTGTTTCACCTAAGTATTATTTGATTTTGCTCATATTTGAAGATCCACCACTGTAACCCATTTTTTGCTTTGTGCCAATCGATTTTCTTAGTATTCCTTTGTACATATAAATTATAAAATTTTACATCATACGAATACATCTTTGTATCAAGTTGGTTTGCAGCATAAATTTGAATATAATGTTAAGTAGACGGTTTGTGTTCTTACTACGACAAACTTTCTTAATGTTTTTGTAGGAAGGAAAAATGCTTACTGTTACACTCATCTACCATTAGTTGTTCTATTTAAATTGGTCAGTCCACTTAACTTGCATAATGCTTCAAATGTACATTAGTTTTTTTCTAACCGTAGTCTATAACTAAACAGGTTTCTTGCAGAATTTGTACTTAGTTTTGCCTTCTTTGTCTTCTCTGAAAGTCTATAAATGATGATAGAGTTATATTTTTGTGTGTTGAGAAGTTTTAAATTGTTCAGAGTAGATAATTAACCTGTATTTCATCATGAAACTAATTTTATTCTTATTTGTAAAGATTTTTGAAATCGGCCGAAGGATGTTATGGATATAGTCTGCTGGCTTGAGTGCACTCCATCAGTAAACGAAACTCATTTACGTTTTTTTGATTCGAATGATTAACGGATCATAACATTTTTTCAAGGGAGTAGCTACGCTTTATTCATGAGTGCGTTAACAGTCATCAAGATTATCAGTCAAACAAAGTTTTCCACTTTTGGATATTGTACATAATCGTTATGTATCACTTAACTGAGTTGTCATATTCCAGTGTTTGTGAGGTATGTGTTAACCTAAATGGATATTACATGTCCACGGTGTAAGTTTTGTTGGTTGTCGAATGAGGTGAACAAAACGCAAGAAGGGTGCTTGATGAAAGAAGTGGTCAGGCTCAGTTAAAAATTCTGAAGTACTGGTGTAAAGAATGAATGAACTAGTGTAACTCAACAAGCATACGAAGTTTCGTGCGTCAAGCCATACCTTTGATAATGCTTGGATATCAAAAACTTGGTAGGAGGAATGGGAGTTCGAAAACAGTGACCTGTTGGTTAGAAGTCAACCATCTAGCCTAATGAGTAACGACTCTGATGGTAATAAAACTAACACCTCTTGTGCGGCTTCATTCGCATATCACTTAAACGAAATTTATTAGCTTCTTAACCTTGTATACCGTTTTGTTTAGGAATTTTATTTTATGCATCAGAGTATAACCATCATCATCATTCTCCTTCCGATTTTTCTTCTTCTTATGTATATTCTATTCGGTAGCAGACAGTGTTTCCCTCTGAATATGTATCCTCCCTATGGATTGTACAGTAACTCTAAATATATATTAGGTTAGTTATCAGTGTGAATTATAAACGAATATGTAGTCATTGTACATGTATGTGTATTTCATTGTCGGTGTTTGTGTGTGTGTGTACATATATGTTTTTTATTTATTTACTACTATTCTTCTGTCCATAGCTTTTCTCATGATTATATAATAAACAAACATTTGGAGGTGTAGCCTTCTTCGAAGTGTTTAAACATATTTTATTGGTGGAAATATAGGTTTTTTGAGATTTTAATGATGAAGTTCAACACCTTGTGGAAGGTGCTGCTTTATGTTTTCAAGAGATTTTGTGTTTATCAAAAATTATTGCTATATTGGTGTGGTTATTACTCATTAAAGCTTTTGTGTAGGACATCTGTTTTATAAATTGCTTTTTGGTTCATTCTATTCTTGATGATGTTTAGTTTGCTCTTTTTCTGTATCAAACAGGGAATGGTTTTCACTGATTTCATTAGTAGAAAGGGTACACGGTCTCAGTATTAAACAACCCTGAAATAGAACGGAATATTTATCCAGTGACTTCTGCTTTTTAACGATTCCCTAGCTGCTTAGTTTTTGATCTATCTATGTCTTGAAATTGAACAATTCTCAGAAAGTCAGTCACCCATGTATGGATTGGTTGTGAAAGCCTGTAAATAATTTAGACGGTGAACAAGTTAAATTGAAATATAAAATAAACTCTTCACATACAGCTGTTAACTATAAGTGTGAAACTTGGACACTGTGGTAGAATGTAATTCCATATTAGATTTGTTTATTTGATATATGGCGCACAGTGATACAGTATTATTTACTTGATTACGTTTCGAGCATAAATTATTGCTCATAATTATATCAATGTATATATAACTATATGTGATATTTAGTTGTTGAAACAATACTTACCCCACCCAACAGTGTGCATAATTTACTCCTCTATCAACTATTTTATGTAACGTTTTTACTGAGTACTGTAGTGAGACAAAACAAACTTTTCAGTATGTGAATTTCGTGCAAGTCTTAAGGTAATCTGCGCTACAGTGGAGTTTATGGTGTTCAATTTCATTCATATTATTATATACTAATAATATCACGTGCCAAGTTGAGGGGCTAAAAAATATATGCATTTACACAACACTTTCTGACTTACACCTACAAGTTAATAGTAATGCATTCTGTTCAAAAGTTTGTAGCTGGAATATAGTGTACTTATCCATTATCAACCACTTTAACAACCGAATGTTCAAACACCAAGGAATCAGAGTCAGTTTCTTATAACGCAAATGAAAGTAACACGGAACAATATTGTTGTATTATTTGAAATGTCCAATCAACTGAAAATTGGTGGAAGGTGTTCATACAAATAGTAATAAATATGAGGTAACTGAACGCGATGATGTTTATTTATCAGGTTGTGGGCTAAATATATTTTGTGAGGTTTTTATACTACACGATTGCCTAGATCGAAGTAGGTTGAGCAAGATTTATTCTAGGGACCCATTGCATTAAGTTAAATGTTCAAACCATTAATCCACATCTCCGTACACACAACAACATACAAAATACTTGTAACTGCGACTTTTCGTTCATACTCAGAAAAGAATTTCACACCTATGTGTCTATTTTAGCGGGAAAACAACCTACTTTTCAGGTGTGACTGACAGTCTTCTACTTTTAAGAATAATGATACCTGTTACATGTATATACCTCAAATTTATATACGGTTTACCTCTCAATTTAATAATTATTTTAAATTTTTACCTTTGTTTTCATGAATGTGTGTGTCTTCTACATATATGACTTATTAACGGAATAATTTTATAGCCTTCCATCAGTAAATTACATTTTTACAAAAAATAGCAGATTATGTTTTTAGAAGTAACTATTGCATATTTTGCGTGCGCATACCAAGTTAAATATTTTGCAGCAGTCCCGTTCTTTCTACTTTCTTGTTACTATAATACAAGTGATATCACACTGGATCGAATACTACCACCCGCTGTGTCATTCTCTTTTAATTTAATTCATTATCATTCATCACATATAGACAGAAAATTCAGTTTACCGGTCGATTTCATCTCAGACAGTTTGAAAGGAAAAAAAGAGTTGTTTTACTTTAGGGACAAAAAATATTAAAATTTATTCGCTACTTTGTTCTCCAGGAGTATGAGCTTATAGTGGCCTGTTTGTGGGTATGTGTACAAGAATTAAATTCAAAATTTCTGTAGTTGTTCGGTTTCTTGTGTACATTGCATTGTGGATACTTTTGTATTTTAAACTTCGTAAACCTGTCAATGGTGGTTCCTAAGATCTATACCAACTGATTTTGTTTCTACTATCGTATTTTGTGTAGTGTTTTAGCGATCCAATTTCACTCTGATGAGGAAAACTAACAGTAGTAGGTAAAGTGTTGATTGAATATAGCGCGATGAATAACATTCCGTGGTGTGGACATCCAAGAAGAACTAATCGTCCACACACTTCCAGAAGTATACAAAAGCCACCTAACCTTTGTCACCCCTTATCTTCAAGACGTTTTTGTCTTGCTAACATTATGCGTCGACCAGATTTTTACCCAGCAAAATTATTACTTAGTTACCTGTGGCTTAAATTTACTGAATTTCTGGATCTCTAAGTGACATTTCATCAAGTCGATCGATAACTGTTGTCATAATGTTTGACTGTGTGAGGAATACTGAGCAAGTTTGTTATGCTAATCAGAAGTCTCTACTCGAACTAAAGCATGTTTGTAGGGGTTTACAGGGAGTTAGCATCTGAAGTGATGAAAATCAGTGTTCTTCAATATCGACTATCTTAATTTCTATTTAAGTTATAGATGTTCTGTCGGACAGAACCTTGCCCACTTCCAGCGTCTTAGAAAGTGACTAACTTTTTGAACGGCACCTGGTTAACTTAGTCTCCGGTTGACATATTTCCGCTAGACAAATATGTTTGACATGTGTTTCTCACCTGATGGTTGTAATGTAATGGACAAAACATGATTAATCTGTACTGAATCCTAGTTTAAGGCTAAGAAGAGAAGCGGTAAAATGAAATGCCCACTTCACTTACTTGAATAGTTGCATCAACCCAAACTGACTGGTTGCTGATGAAATCTCAGCTCGGATACAAGAGGCTAGTTTTTCATTTGGCGATTCACATCATCTCTAGCGCCGACTGGAGAGATATCCGGCTACCTAGTGAAGGCAGATTACATTGTGCGGCAGTCTATCCTGTTCTGGTACGCTGTTGTGGTGACCAAGAGTGCCTATCGCAGTTACCTAGCAAGCAGCCTTGGTGAGGTGATTTTCCCTTGTATTCCTATCAGGCCAGAAATATCTGCTCCAAACTGGTCAGCATAATAATCATTACGCTGTAGTGAATACCTAAGGGAAGTTCGTTCTCTTCAGTGTAATGTGTGTGACAGCAGCAAGGTGTTTCCTAAGGATGACCAGCAGTACCATATTGATGCTGCCTTCCCTATTGGAAGTCGTAGGTTTGAATATATACCCCTCAATAATACACTCCTCTTTGCCTTGCGATATTTCGGTACAGGCGGTATGGGCTTCTTTTTTATTATTATTATTTATCCCTTGGGTTCCTAGTGGAACATAGGGTTTCAGTAGTACGTCTTCATTTCACTGTCTCCTCTGTACTCTTTTCAACTTGGCTCTATGACTGCCCACAAGCTTTCATTTCTTCCTCACATCATCTCCATGTCAACCTCGCTACGGACGCCCAACTCTTCGTTTCCCATTTGGATTCCACTCAAGAATCTGGCCTGGCGCGTGATGTTCCCAGTCGGCCTTCTCAGTGTATACCTAGTCCATCTCCACTTTCTTCTGCATATCTGTTGGGGCGATGGGTTCTTGGTTGGTTCGAATGGACTTCTTAGCTGGACTGTAATCAATCAAAGCTAAATATGGAATTTAAAAAATATCGTGTTTGGTCAGCCTAAAGCAGAATTCTCATGGGGTGCATTTCCATGTATAGCTATTACTAATAAAATTTCTTTTTGAGGTACCTCAGAAAGGAACATACATCTATGGTTCGGGTATCCCAGAGGTATCAGCCGCCCTCACTACCCTGTCAGCACTCAATTTACTTCAGATCATTATTGACTTTTCGCATCTTTGCCTTCTCTCGATCGATATTTATGTATCATCATCCTTGACGTTTTCAGCTCTGTGGCTCTTGATAATGATTCCAGCTCATGGAACAACATCTCTGGTCCCTTAACACTGGACTCCAAACTAAATATTTGAGCTTACGTTTTTTTCTCACCATTCGTCAAATCAACCAAGAAGCTTCGGTAGCCAAAACTTTGGTGTCTGGGGCCGTTAATATGTACTGTGATTGTGAGATAAGTACACAGGATTAAAGTTTAAATACTCATTTAAACACTTGAACAATATAGTAAATTTGCAAAACTCGCCTTACGAGTTTTTTTAGATTCAATGACTACCTCTCATGGTTTTGCACGTATAGGTATAGTATTGTCTTAAGATAAGCAATACATTGTTAGACTGGATTCCAAATGACAGTCACCTACACGCTGTTCGACTGAATGGTGCAATAAGAATTTAGAAAAGCGGCAAAACTCATCATTGTCTTTTTGTAATCTGTGGTTAGGCATCCACTAACTTAAATTTGAATGAAGTGAAGGATGAGTTCTATTGAACTGTGTCTTACCTCCTACTGAAAGCCGAAGTCATGATTCCTGTTTTGTTGATAGTTGCGCATTAGAGAATGTTACAAATGTGATTTATACTGGTGTGTGTTTTCCTTCGGAACTTCCTTGGTCTTCTCATATCTCACTAATTTTCAAAGGAATTTTCCGCCTAACTTTGTTTATTAGGAAGCTGAGAGTATCTGGTACTACTCAGCCTCTCCTCTTATGTTTTATAAACTCCTGCATCTTGCCTGTCCTCCTCTGTTGTTC